TCCTTAAATAGGTTTTATCAATTTCCTGGGCTTTATTAATGTGTTCTTCAGCTTTATTTCCTATGAATTGCCATAAATATATTATGAAAAATTTTTGATGTTAGTAGTACTTGTATTAGCACATATATTAGTCTGTTTGCTTCTGTTATAAACATAAAATGGGTAGCTTATAAAGGAAAGGAATTCATTTCTCAGAGTCGTGGAGTTAAGAAGTTTAAGATCAAGCTATAAGCATTAATGAGAGCATTATTACCATATCATGACCTGGTGCCAAAAATGAGAAGAAAGTACATTTTTATAACAAAAGGCATTTGTACAATTAACTTATACATTACTATGATAAGCATATTCATTTATTCATGAAGAAAGAGACTGTTTGACCTAATAAGCTCTTAAATGCCCCACTTCTCCAATACCATCAGAGAGTCATTCAACATTAGTTTTGGAGCGCACATATGAACCGAGGCTGAATACCTCAATGATAATTTATTTTATCTCCATAGATCTATAGCCTATGATCTTTGTGGTATCACGGCAGATAAGATCTGGTTAAAGCCACTTAGAGCTACCATGTGCAAGATGAGGGCAAATCATTTACAGCAATTAAGAGGTTACTAAGCATTGGTCCTCTCCTCCTAGTTTTATTGATACATATGAAAAGGTGAACGAAAGGTGATTATAATAGCAAGTAAAATTCACAGTGGAAACAGAGACAAATGCTTCGGTGAAAGGAGCATGTATAAATAATACAAAAGGAAGACAATGTCTCCAGGGATTTTGTACATCTGTATCCGCCAGTACAACAATAGAAACACATGTGCAATAGTATATTGAGAACCCTGGAAGACAATATTGTGTACAGTTTCAGATGATGGATCATATGTCTGCTTATTCTTTCTGGGTGAGAGAATTAAACTTCTTTGAAGAATATGAAATTGTGAATAATAATGCTGTTCAATAATAGTGTCTTATTTTTTAATAAGAATAATTTCTCAGATGATTAGACATCTCTATACTGTATGCTGTGAATACAAGGTTATTAACAGTAATCAAGTTCAATAGAATATTTGCCTCACATCACAGTTGAATGAAAAACAATCTTGTTAAGAATTTTTTATGGGTAATATTTCCAGAATGAAAATAGTTTGTGTTCCTGAGTCTGATACAAAACCTTAAGGACATAATAAATCTAAGAGGAGTAATTATGCTTTGCATATGAAAAACATACGCAAAAAGCGTATATATATATATGTTTGTAAAATATTAGAGTCACAAAAACTAATGAATATGAAAGACTTTATACTTTTACCAATATTTGAGGATAATAATGAATAATTAAGGAGGAGGCAAAAATGCTCGATAGGAAATGTACTCATGACCTTGCTCATGTAACTGTAAGCCCTCTGTACAGTAGTATTACAATAAAAATGTATTAAACATGAAATTATTTAAAAAGAAATAAAATAATAAAACAATTATTTTCAAAAGTTTTCATATATCTTAAAAGTAGCATAACTGTGACTATGGATATATGTTTGACTGTAGCAATTTGAATATTGATAAGTGCCATTGACTAGTATATAACTGCATCCTTTTTAGTTTTGTTATAAAAATATTGAAAAATTAAATATATTTTCTGAAAATTTTATTGTAATTGTTCAATAAAAGTGTACTTAAATTTTATAAATTGTGCATTCACTTGCCATGTTTGCTGTTCATGACATCATCTTGTGTACTGCAATTACACAAACTAATTATAAGACTGAACATATTTACATCAATTACATAATTAGTTTTAATTAGGCTAACTAGAGTAATTATACAATTAGATAATAATCAACTCAAAATTCCTTTTAACAAATCATAGAAATTCACATGCAAAAAAGACATTCAGACATTATCACATTAAATGTTTCAACAAAAATCATCCACAAATCACAGAACACTAAATTTAGATGATCACCATATAAACTTAAAGTTTATGCTGTATGATTAAACCTTATATGTAATAAAATATAAACTACATATATATGTATGTTTATGTTATACATACATATCACTTGATATAGTATAAGTATACAAAAGCTCTTATGCATTCACATATGTATGAAGTACTCCTTTCATTCTAAATTAAATGTATTTTAAAAAACTAATCTTTATTTCCCTGGATGTGATATAGTTGTTTATATTCTTTCAGCAAATTTTACATTAGCTCCCTTTCTTCTCACCATGAAATAACTTAGGAAACTACTTACCATATTAACCTATTAACTTAGGTAATTATTTTTGGTGATTATTCTGTAGGTTGACACCTTCTGGTTTGATTTCTGACTATTGAAAGTAATCATTTAATTTCACCTATGCCAGTTCACCAATTCTGTAATAGCTGATCTACTGAAAAATCATGGATCTAAATGTTTTGCCCTCCCTTTTATATATTGGACATATTTCCACCTTAATGTGCTCTGTTCATGACAAAATTAACCTATACACATAGACAAACAACCATTATTGGATAATACCAGCTGGTCTTTAAAGAGTAGGAATCATCTCATAGAGTGGCAAGAGTTGTCTTTGTAAGCCTTGAAATCACAATATTCCTGCCTAATTTGTCTTCTTTACAGCATTATCGACCATCACTGTGTATGATTATATCAAACCATAGGGTTAGATTCTTTTATTTAACATCTTATCTAATTTTTATTTATGAATTTTATCTAATATTTTTATCAATTATGCCTGTAAAAAGTTGAAAAATATATGGGTTGAAGTACAATTTATTGCAGCTGCTTATATTCTGAAAACATGGTAAGCCCAATTAGAAGCTTTCCAACTGAGTATACAGTTTAGGGCATTACAATTAAAAAGAAGGAAAAAGAATATTTGAGAGTAAATTTGTTAAAACGTTAAAAGATCTGAGATATTGATACTGAACTTATGATAAAGACATTTTAAGAAGACAAAATAAGAATTGTTAAAGAAGGAAAAGGGACTTAGAGGAATAAATTTAAAGTACTTCATAAGATGTTGAATTTGGAGTATCTGAAGCAGTAAATGGAGATGGTAAGGTCCAAATCTGGACAGGAGACAGATATCTATGGAAACCTAAGGGAGAATTCTGGAACAAGGATCCAGACCTACTGGGGACAGGAAAGTAGAGCTTGTCTCTAATAAAAATTTAAGTCATATTTACTGTGGAAAAGTAAAATTTCAAAGAATATCATTATGTCCACATCAGAAGCAAGTAGGATTTCTGAGTCATAAGGAAGCTCTATGTTTAGTGTTTTGAAGAACCTGCATTGTGCTTTCCTGAATGGGCCAACAAGTTTAAATTGCCACCAACAGTGTGGTAGCATTCCTTTTTGGCCACATCTCCACCAGCATCTGTTTATTATTTGTTTTCTTGACAATGGGCATTCTGACTGATGTCAGGTGGAATCTCAATGTTATCTTGATTTGCATTTTTTAATGGCCAGAGATGTTCAACATCTCTTCATGTGTCTATTGGTCATTCTTACTTCTTCTGAGATGTTTCTCTTTAAGTCTTTAGCTCACTTATTAATGGGGTGGTTGTTTCTTTGAGTATTTGCTTTTGAGGATTTTAATCTTGGTAACATATGTATTGTTTTTAAGTGCATCTGTTTTGGGGTGGAAATGGGAAAGCACAGAAACAGTGAGACAAAGGTTGAACTCATACAGCAAGGATACTCACTAGACACTATGTTGGAAATGAACTATACAATTTTGGAAGGAGAGGGTAGGGGAGGGGAAAACTGAGAGAAAATGAGGGCGGAGGTAACACTGTTCAACAAGAAATGTACTTAGTACCTGACTTTTGTAACTGTAACCTCTTTGTAAACATCTTTACAATAATTTTTTTAAAAAATAGAAGCAAGTAGGAAGTAAAAGAAAAAAGTCTAAGCAGGAAGTTTTACTGAAATGAAGAAAGCACATTGTCCCAGAGAGACGTTACCTGGATAAATTTAGTTCCGTGGGATTTAATGTTATTTGAAGGGGAATACATTTTTTTTATTTTTATGTATTTTTATTGTGAAAATACTGTACAGAGGGGTTACAATTACATGGGCCAGATAATGATTACATTTCTTATCAAGCATTGTAGCCTCCTCCTTTATTTCCCCTTCCCATCCCTTTCCATCCTCCCCCGACCCCCACCCAATCCTCCCCCCCATCCACCAAAGGTGTAAAGTTCATTTTCGACATGACAACTTGTACTGCTCATTGTTGCAACGGGTCCACCTGTATCCTTATTTAAACAACTTGTTTTTAAGGGGAATACATTTTATTGTTGATGTTTTTCTTTCAGAAATTTTCAGTTGAATGCTTTCCTTAGTCATTCCTCGTTCATTAGGAGTTTCTAAGATACTTCTTGGCATGTGTCTAAACTACTGTACCATCTACCACCTTGCAAATTTACCTGAAAGACCCAGTTCTTGGACTCCTAAATAGAAAAACAAAAAGAATAACAGAAACATTTACATTCCATCTTATATATTTCATATGTCAGTTTTCCATATACACACAATATTTTAAACAGAGATGTTTATTATCATTATATTTACTTCATGTATTCTAAAAAAACCCTAATTTATTGGCTCTTCTTCAGAACCTTTCATAATATTTCATTTAAAGTCTGCATAGATTACAGCATTTGTTAAATAAACTCCATTATTATTAAGTGTGCTATTCTGATCTTTGCATAACTACCACCAGAAATAGATATTTTCCTCTCCTGGGAAGCTATTTTGCAAAAAGAATGTTATGAATTTTCATTGTAGTCTGTTAGTTTTTACCTCTAGGCATATTACATATTATTTTAAAATGCAGTGTTTCATCTTTAATTGAGGACATGGTTCTAAAAATAATAAGACAATCTGCCACCTTCTGATAATAATGATTTAATATAGTATAAGATTATGATTTATTCATTCATTCTGGTTACCCTTAGCTTTCACTAATGACCTTTTTTATATTTTCAGGGTGAAACAAAGATCTTAAAACTAAAGAATCTTCGACCTCAGGACTATGCTAACTACAGTTGCATTGCTTCAGTGAGGAACGTTTGTAATATTCCTGATAAGATGGTGTCATTTAGACTCTCCAATAAAACAGGTATGAATCAATCACTGTATGCTGTTCGTCAGTTGTGTGTGTGTGTGTGTGTGTGTGTGTGTGTTTGTGTGTGTGTGTGTGTGTGTGCATACATGTGCATACATATTGTATTTTGTTAATATGAACATTTGTAGCTAGAAATCAGGTTCCTGGAACTACTTAGAAAAGCATTATCAGGGGCTGGGTAGGTGGCTCAGCAGTATAATGCTTGCCTTGCATGCATGAGGCCCTTGGTTCAATTTCTCACCACTACATAAGCCCAAAAACCTGGAAGTGGTGCTGTGGCTCAAGTGCTAGAGTGCTAGCCTTGAGCTGAAGAGCTGAGGGACAGTGCCTAGGACCAGAGTTCAAGCCCCACAACTGACAAAAAAAGAGAAATTATCTAGGAAGAGCATTATCTAGGAAGCATTTTTGAAAACCATTGTCATGTATAGGTTAACAAACTATACACTTTCCTAACTTTTCCACCATGACCTGGCATTATAGATCATAATTTCTGTCAAGCCAAAGAGATTGTAATAATCTGTGAGTATCAATGATTGTCCAACACACTATGAAAATCCTCCTGTCGCATAAATATTTTATATCATGCATAATCTATTGCCTGAGTATAATAGTTCATAGCATTTTATACAGAAAAGATAAAATACTATGTTTATTTCTTGTTATGCCCACTAACCAATGGAGCTACCAAACTGTACTGTCTCCAGAGGCTTCTATAGAACCATGACTTGCCATTTGGAAGAAAAAATAATTTTAGTCATTGATCATCAAACTATTGACATAGCCTTATTTATCATGGGTATTTAAATAAACCTGCTGATATTTGTAAATTTAGAAAACTACTAAAGATATGTGTATTTTGAAATATTTGTAATTGTGGAAACCTGGCACAAATTATTTTAAATTTCTCAGCTTATATCTATTTCTGATATAAGGGCACATATGAATTATGCTATACATTTTCATTTATTTTAATGTACCTCAAGCACTCATGTTTTGATGTCTCATGATTCCAAAAGCAAATAAGAATTAAATAGGTTACCTATATTAGGATGAAAAACATATTTTGTACTTGCCTTCCGAGGTTATGATGAATTCTATAAAGGAACGGGACAGGTGGAGCTAATTTTACGTAATTACATGGTCCCTTGATTTAGTCTATTCGAACTCAGTATTTATAAAAATTTTATAATTAAGATGTCTTCCTTAAATGTGCATTACATTAAGAAACTATGTCATCACAAAAATATTACTGATTATAGACTTGGAAGCAATAGTCCCACCTATTCCTTCTCCTCTTTTTGCTGTGGCTGTTGCTGCTTCTCCTCCTCCTCCACTTCCTCCATCTTTTCTTCTACCTTCTTCTTTTCCTTCCTCACACACTACTCTGTTTCTTTCTTCAATCTGCCTCAACAAATTACAGAAGATAAAGTTGAGAAACATCTCATTCATGTTAAACAACTATTATTAGTTGTTACTATTTTGTATAACTCATACCGTTTTAAGATCTGTACCCAACTATTATTGTGACCCTCAATACCAAACTTTTGAATAGTTTGATCTATTCATCATCATCTATGTTTAGAGGAATGTAAGCTACATGTTATGTGAAATGATGGTTAATTATAGAAATTTTTGATACATGTAGGTATGAAACAATATGTGAAATCTTCCTTTGTGCTGCGTATGAATGTGGTTACAGAGAGCAAGCTGAAGTGTTTAAAAAAAATAGTAGCACTGGGAATCTTGCTCTGAATGTACCTGAGTACTCAGTGACTTTCCTTAGCTAATAGTTTTAATTAAAATAGCTACCACAGTGATAGTTATTAGGAGCTAGATATTTATTTCCTCAAGAATCAATTTATTAGAAAAAACAGTTTTGAGAAACGCAAAGATGCCCCATATTACTGTATTGTATAGTTTGGGCTACTGTAGCAGGAAACACAGACCCAGAGTCGTAAGCAACAGAAATGTATGCTGTCATTGTTCTAGCACAAGTGGGGAATATTTTTATTGGTTCCATGTGAGGATTCTCTTCCTGGTTTATAGATGCTGTTTTCTCTCTCGGTGCCTGTATAGCTCCATGGAGAGAGAGACAGAAAGAGCCATAATGTACCCTCTTACTTATGTAAGGACACCAGCTATTTGGGTTAGGATCTCCTTGTGACATCATTTAAACTGAATTACCTTTCTAATGGCCCCATGCCCAAGTGCCTGCATCATTTACCAGCTCCACATTGTAAAAAGAGTTCTACAAATTAGGAAAGGGAACTCAATTCAGTTTCTAACACTTCCAAATTACTGAAAGTAGTATTTGAATTTAGAATATAGCTTTTCTTTCAATAATTTGGATATAAATTCCTACTATGATAAACCAAAGCATAAAAAAGTCACACATTACAAAGTATAAGTAATCTATTGGACATAGGAAATGTTAAAGTATAACTCTATCGTGAGTACTTATGGCCCCATATTCTCGGAAGGTACCCCAGAAGGAGGAAGATAGGATAAGAAATTTTGAGAGGAATAAACATCCTTTTGGAATAGTACTGACATTCAGAAATTTATGGTGAAAATAATAGAATAAAGGCACAAATAATGTTTTAATGAACTTGAGCAAGTTTTTATGATTTTCTTTCTGTTTTGAGGTTAACTTAATTAAAGGAACAAATATGACTTCACCATTTAAAACTCTAAAACAGTGCAGATCTGAATATTTTAAAAGATTTATGTAATTTATGTTACCTAAAGTAACTTAATTACAATGACAGCAGTAGAAAAATCACAAACGTTATTAAAATACTTTTGAGAATATGATGTCTAATACAATTCTTTCTTTTTAAAATTTTATATCTTTAAAAAATTTATTATCAAAGTGATGAACAGAGAGGTTTCAGTTACATAAGTAAGGTGGTGATTACATTTCTGAAAATTTAAGGTTCAAGTTTTATTTCTCTGTATTAAAGGACATTTACTTGACTTCTCTAAATTCATTTAAACTTAAAAATGATGACACAAAAACCGAACTTTTTTGTAGGCAGCAAATGCTAGAAACTTAAAACTCAAAAAGTATTGGGGACATAATACATACTCAGTAATTATCACTTTTAATTTTGTTGTTAAACTAGACAATAGAAAGAATTAGTGGCATCAATAATTATTGTGAGATGATAAATAATCATAGAATTTCCCAGGGAAATTTATAGAGTAATTGATTAATGATCTTTACATAATCAGAGTAATTTCCTTATGAATAATCTATGATGGATTGGTAGACATATATACCAGATAATATTTTCCAGAAAATAAAGAAATGTATGCTATGGATATGTTTTTATGTAACTTATTTATTAACAGATATGTTGAGCATAATTATAAAATAGTTTTGGTGAGACAGATGTCAGGAAAATCAAAGAAACTTGCAAGGTTTTCGATATGCAAAATGTTATCCATCCAAGTGCTTTGTCTTTTCCTAAAATAATCAAATTTCAATAGGCCCCATTCTCACTAATGTAACCTCAGCAATATGAAAATGGAAATGATGATGAGGCCATGAATTAGGGACTAAAGCAATGTTCATGGTCATTATGGAATTTCAACTTTGGTCTTCTACAAATAGTTTCCAGAGCAACACGATGACCCAGATACTCTAAAATTGCATTACCATAGTAACAGAAAGTTTGCATGTGGCTCAGATCTCCCTGTACCTGTGTGTTATGTTGTCCTAGCAATGAGTTTATTAAGTTTCTGGGCATGACATTTATTTTAAAACTGTACATTCATATATAAAATGTCCCCTATAAGAGATGGAAGATGGTGGAATGAGAACAAGTAACAATCTAAGCTCCCTCCAAAGAAGCAGAGTTTTAGGGTTCCATCAGACACTCCTCGTCTAGAGAGTCACAGCAAGTAAGCTATAATTATATAGAGATATATACCAAACAGGAAGACTATAAACTGCTTACATGAGAAGACAGAAATTAGCCAGTTGCACCAGGCCAGGTGAATACCAAACTTTAAACACTACTATAAAGCCAGACTAATAAAAACACCTTGGTATTGGCCAGGATAGGCCTCAGAACCAATGAAATAGAATAGAAAACCCAGAAATTAACTCACAGACTTATATCTACTAACATTTGACAAGGGAGCCAAAAACACAGGATGGATTAAAAACAGCCTTTTCAACAAATGGTGCTGGCAGAATTGGCTATACATGTGCAAAAAACCCGAAGCCAGAGTCTCCTATATTACCCTGCACCAGAATCAATTCCAATTGGACGTAAGACCTCAATCTAAGGCCAAACACCATGGAAATATTACAGGAAGCAATAAAGGAAGCAGTAGGGCTACTAGGCACAGCCCAAAATTTCCTAAGATCCAAAATTTTCTAAGTTCCAGAATCACAACAAATCAAAGGAAGGCTAAAAAAAATGGTATTGCATCAAACTGAAGAGTTTCTGCATGGCAAAGGACATAATCAGCAAGATAAATACAAAGCCCACAGAATGGGAGATCTTTACTAAATATGCATCAGACAAGGGGTTAATATCTAAAATATACTTAGAGCTGAAGAAATTAAACCCCCCAAAAACAAATCCTCGAAGAAATAACAACCCAATTAATAAATGGGCTAAAGACTTAAAGACTTCTCAGAAATAAAAGTGAACAATGAAGAGATTTTCAACATTTCTGGCCATAAAAGAAATGCAAATTAAGACAACATTAAGATTCTATCTCATCTCAGTTAATGTGGCCATTATCAAGAAAATAAATATTGACAGGTCCTGGAGAGGATGTGTCCAAAAGGAAATCCTACACTGATGGTGGGAAAGTAAAGTTGTTCAACCACTCTGGAAAGGAGTATGGAGGTTCCTCAAAAGACTAAACATAGAGCTTCTTCATGACCCAGGATTCTACTCCTGGACTTTTACTCAAATGATCACAAACCAGGCCATACTAAAGCTGCCAGCACAACCATGTTCATTGCAGCATTG